CACACACTGCAGTCAGATAAATGCTGGTGTGCTTGGCTGGGTCAGAGTCACACAGCTGAGCCTGCTGAGGGCTGCAGCTCCTGCACTCCTGCTCCAACAGGCTGTACATGGAGCCTCTACCTGGATGTCTTCAGTAATTTCTACTGAATATAAAGGGAATTCAGGATGGGGGAACTCCTAGTTTAAGCAGTTTAGCCAAGTGCCTGAAGTTGGATAAGATGGATCCGTGTGCTGGTGACAAGTGATTTCTCATGGACCTCACTAGACTTTCACAGAGCTGCTTACCTACAGATATGTTGTTTAATAAGGAAAAGAGAAACCTGTGGGAAGACAAAGAATATCACTAATCACACATACTTACATCTGGCAATAAAGTTTTTGGAAAAAAAATCAGTACAGCAGATTGTTGCCTTTGAAATGTAATGCTATTAAAATGTTCAACATGAAGTTTCTATTTTTAAAATAGCAGTTGAAAGAAATGCACGAGATTAATAAGAAGCTAAATTGAAACCATGTTGGTTCATAGGTAACACAGACAAACACCGAGTTAATGGGGAGAGCTGTGTGCGCTCCAGTTTGGGCCACTGCTTGTTTGGTTTTTATTTTGTCTTTCTTAGGAAGCAGAAGGGGGTGGAAATACCAGCCTGTTTAATCTCCTACTTCCTTTCTTAGGCTGTTGTTCAGTTGAGTTTATTAGGCCTTCTGAAACAGCAGCTTATGGCAAGTTAAGACATCATCTGCCACCCCAATACATAGGGAGTCACTGATATAAACTGTTCTCCAGCAGAAATGGACAACAGTCTGCCCATTGAAAGGCCTTAAACACAATCAAGGGGGGATATGAAGCAATCATGTTGGGAATTGAGGTTTGAGTATTGAGCTATTGGCCTGGAAGGGAGAGACCATCTGACACAGGTGTCCAGGAGAGCTGCTGATCTGTCTCTGTTGTTGGAGCAGATGCAGCTGAGAATAAACAATTCTTGTCCAGCTAAAAAGCAGGAGAGAGGAATTGCATCTCCAGGGAAGTGTGTACAAACACATGGGATTTTGTTCCAAGGTGCCCACAGTCTCATGTTAACCATAGCTGCCAGCCCAGAGGATTTGATAAACTCAAGTTCTTGATGTTAGATAAAAAATAAGGGTATTGAGCAGGGAGGTAGTGTTGGTAGGTTGGACCCTGGAGAAGAGCTTTGGTTTCATTGCCATTGTTGTGACCATTTACAGGATGTCAAAATCTGTCCCACTGACCGCAGTGGATTTAGGATGATACTTGCCAGCAGCACAACAGTCCCACATGGCTTTTATTTTCTCCCAGATTATTAATTTTGTTTTAAAGTCTAAAGGAGCTGTCTGGGTGGCAGTAACAGAATGAGAACTGAAGGACCTTGCTAGTAGCCCAAAGGAGAATATGCAGATAGTGGCTTTGTTCAAGAATTGTTGGCAGCAGCAGTGAATGTTACCAGCAGGCACTGTTGGAGCTGTGTATGGAATAACCTGCTGTAAATAAATGGCACACAATGTCCAGAGAACATTTACATAAGGGAGACGTCTGTAAAATATTAAAGGAGTAAATGTAGAAAGGATCTAAGAACTTGTTGGAACTGAATGACAAGATAAAGCCAGGAGAATTTCTGCCCCAAGGCACTCAGTCAGTTCCAGCAGTCTCCCTCCATGCCAATATGACCTCCAGACATGTTTCCCAAAAGCAGGTTTCTGGCCATTCCTCTGAGGATGTTTGGTTTTCAGTTGAACCCTGCATGTCTCATAACAAGCTCCAGGTCTGCTTTGTGGTCACGGTTTGTGTTTTTGTGTCAATGAATTTTATTTTTAGATAATGGAGATAGAGTCAGTGATGAGAGCCTTGGGGAAGGCCACAGATATATGGGGAGGAATCTGCTAGTGTTTAACAAGAGAACATTAAAATCTTTCCAGTTCACTGCTGTGATTGCTCTGATTTTACATATGAGCAAGTTACATAGGTTCCAAAGCTTCAATAGCTTAAGCTCTGCAAAATGTATGCATGAATGACAGGACCACAGGTGCAAATGCTGACAGTATTGCTAATTTTTTGTTTTTCTGGCCAGAACTGTCCAGTATTAAAGAAAAATCAGCAAAACCTTCAGAATTTTGAATGTTAGATGAAGAAATCCCAATTTTTTCTCATTGAGCGGATACCCCATTTTCTCAGATAGTGACCTATTTACTCAAGCACTTTAGAGTCTCAAAGTTATTGTTTAGGTGTTATATGCTATTGGTAAAATTGGTTGGAAAGTAGAACTTTCTCAATTAAAACAAAATTTGAAGTTTCAAAATGAGTTTGCACACCCCATCAGATCAGGCACTCAATGAAGTTGGAGTGTGTTGGACACTTGCTGTGTAAGGAATATTCTGAGTTTTACTTTGGAAGAGTCAAAACATTTTGATTCTGAAATTTGAAAATAGGATGTTTGATAGCAGTGATTTTCTATTATCATATCGTAAAGTGTAACAGTGTAAGCCCACTGGGGTGTAACAGTCTGCACACATGGTATGTATTAACATTTGTTTTCATGTAACATATGTATGAGTTGAAACAATGAAATACAGTGATATGGTGAGAATAAAACATATGAGTCAAGATTAACTTGGAAAGTTAAAACATTCAGCTGTAAAACAATTTGGTTTCACAAAAAACGGTCTTTATTATGTAAAAACTACTACATCAAACTGCTCCTAGCTTTCAAGCAAGCTTCATTATTATAAGTGAAACCAGGGATGCCCAACAATTTCCATTGTGGCGGCCTCTAATGCTGTGAAACTTTTACCATGCGTGCTGAAATCATCCACACTGAGGGCTGCTGCAGGCTGGAAATGATTGGCAGAAATGCTTTGGCAGCTTCTGAGGCTGAGCACAGGGAAGAATATATAATTTTGATTACATTAAAACACTACAGCTGTTTCAGAGTAAAGTATTAAAAAGGGTGCTGGGGTGGTTTTTTTGCCTCCCAAGCATCTGCCCTGGTTTGGCCAAGGTGTGAACTCATGTCATGTTCACACATTCTCTGTGTAGCTCAGGAGCTCTGTTGGCTCAAGGAAGGATTGGTGGACCAGGGACTCATGTCTGGTTTTTCATTTCACATTTGCTGCTCAAATATGTAGGCAAGGTTTGGAATGAACAGTGAACAGTAGCTTCAAGTACGTTGCGTTCTTGATTGATCTGATTGAGTAATTGTGCCTTTTTACTAAGGGCAAGCCAGCTGATCTGCAGAAAAGTCAGTTTGGTACATGGAACATCTGCCGCTCCTCTTCTGCCTTCACCCTCAAGGCCACGTTTCGAGGCAGGCGCGGTGAGGCGATGCTCTCCTCCGTGCCAGAGATCTAATCAGGTGGTGACACCAAGGACTGGCAGGGATGCTTGTGAACATGGAAAAAGTAGTTCTCCTGGCTCTGCCAGACATGTGGCTGGCCAGCAGCGAGGTTTGAATTATGAGCAGGGCTAAAGTACACTTGTGTTAATGAGAAATCCATCAGCTAAGGTGCAGATACTCCAATAATACATGTGATGGGTTTATGTGCATGTTGTGAATTCATTTGACATAGCTGCTCACTTGAGTTTTGTTAATAAAGATGGATGATCCCTTTTGGCTGGGAAGTGGCATCACTGAACCCAAATATCTGCCGGAAGTGTAAGATGTTGTGGTTCCTGGGCTGCTGGGTGTCAGGAGTCACCTCAGAAGACCTGGCTGGGGTCTGTGAGGGAAGGGGGGGTGGCAAGGTGCAGGTTGTCACTGGTAACGTGGAACGGGGTAGCTTGTGAGCCCTGCTGCGTGAAAACCTTCAGGACCTATTTCTCAGTGTTTTGGAACAGCAGAGCTGCTGCATCCGGATCTGGGTGTTTGGGCATCGGTCTCCTTGTGGAGAGAGGAGGGGTTCTCCGAGGCTGTGAGGCGAGACGGGGGGCTCCTCCCTGAGGCTGTGCTGTGAGGGGAGGAAGGGGCTGGCCTGGACTGTGAGGAGGGAAGGGGGATCCTTCAGAAGCTTGAGGAGAGGAGTGGGATCCTTCCTGACCGTGAGGGGAGGATGGAGCTACCCGGGCTGTGAGGGGAGGACGGGGCTGCCTGAATTGTGTGGGGAAGAACGGGCACGGCCGGGCCTCTTCCCGTGAGGTGAAGAACGCACGGCCCGGGCTGAGAGGGAGGACGGGTCTGCCAGGGCTGAGAGGGAGAAGGGGTTTCCTGAAGCTGTGAAAAGAAGCGGGAGCCCTCTGAAGAGTGTGAGGAGAGACTGGGAGCTCCGCTCCGAAGCTCTGAGGAGAGGAGGGGGATCCTTCAGAGGCCGTGAGGGGAGGATGGAGCACGGCCCGGGCTGTGAGGGGGAGAACGGGCATGGCCGGGCCTCTTCCCGTGAGGGGAGGACGGGGCTGCCAGAGCTGTGTGGGAGAAGGGGTTTCCTGAAGCTATGAGAAGAAGCGGGAGCCCTCTGAAGAGTGTGAGGAGAGACTGGGAGCTCCTCTCCGAAGCTCTGAGGGGAGGTGGGGGCTGCTCCCGCCGCTCTAGCCGCCCCACCCCAGAGCGCACCTGAGTGCCTCACTAAACTAACAATATCTGAAGGTTTTGTAATGGATCCCTGCATTGTTTTTGCAAATTATTGAACTCATCTCTTTCACAAAGGTAACAATATTTTGATTGCTTTGTTTCTGTTGATAATTTTTACTTAAACAGGCATCAGTAGTCAGATACTCACTATGAGTTCTTTTTCCTGAAACCTATTTTCTTCCACCCAGATGTCTTGTGGGAATCTCAGTGCCATCCAAGCAGGAGCTCCTGTCTATAGTTCAGGTTCCTGAAGGAAGGACAAGTTCAGCTGTTTGTTTGCACACATCAGGTCTGACTTTCTCCTTTGGACTCCTACATTGTCCCAAGGGACCTGCCACTCCTGCCCAAGGCCCTCTGTGCAGTGTGGAATGTAACCTGGTGTCCAGGGCAGGCTGCTAATTACAGCTTTAATTTTATTGTGCTTAGGAGGAGACAGATATGCAGCCTTCCCTTACTCATAAGTATGGATCTGAAGAAAGGCAGATAAGGTGTGCTGAGAGATGGGACAGCTCGATGGCAAATTGCCCATCAGGTGAGTAAAACCTGTGACTGATGAGCCCCATGAAAGGGTGACTGTTACTAGAACAATACATATGGGCAGATAAAACTGTGTACCTACATATATATCACATGCACATGTGTATGCATTTGTTTCTATGTGGTATTAAGAGCACCAGTTCCAAAAGGGTTTAGAAAATAAGAAAATGTGTGTTTTATATTATTCCTGTGTATATATTTTCATACCTAATACATTCTTCATTTCCTCTGGGGCCTTCTTAAAGTTTCTAATGTATAAGCAGTGCAACATACAAGAAACCAATGGGAATCTAAATAATGTCTTGCAATGCCTGATTTTGGTGATAAGTTAAAAACCTTTGCACTTTATGGCTCAGAAATGATCTATTATTTTACAAGAAATGAACTATTATTTTACAACAAGAAAATAAAAGCGAGGGTCTGGGTCTGCTCTTAGCTGTAAATACTGCAAAAATTATTTTAATTTTGAAAATGGTAAGCTGTGGTTTTGTTAGTTGTAAATTGCTGCAGCTCCATAGCTTTGAAAGGGGGAACAGCTGATTTATATCAGTTGAAAAGCTCTCTTGGAGTTCTTGATGTTTTATTCAGAATTCTTGGATCACAGTACATTAGAAATCACTGTGGTGGATTTGCCATAAATATTCAGGTTCTGTGGTGCGTTATTCCTTGAACAATCTCATTAACTGCAGAGGCTGAGAAGTACTCAGGAGGACCAATTTCCCTGATCAGCCTTGGCTGTGGCTCTGGGCAGTATCAGCAGAGCCCGCTTCCCAGCGTGCTGCTGGACTGAGGCTGCAGCAGCAGCTCTGCCCCTGGGTCTGTGGGCTGTTGTTCACCAGCTGTGCTGGGTTACTGCAGCACCTCCTGGGATGGGCAGGAGCCTTTCTGCTGACTTCATCAGGCATTGGCTGTTAGGGATCTTAAAGGAGATCAAATGGCAGCTACTAATGTAGCCTGGCCTTCCTCCAGCTTTAGCTATTGCCTGTGGTGCTTATACAACCTGTTTGGTACTTCATTTTGTCTCATTTCATAAACCAGAGAATGACTCAGCCGTGCCATGCCACTCAGTATTGTTTGTATATTGTCACTTATCTTTGTTTTCAAAGGAGCTAAATCCAGCAGCCATCCAGTTACTGACCCTTTCTGTGTGAGTTTGTGTCTCCAAAGGCTGCCTGTTACCTTTACATGAATAACCAAAATAATTATCAAAGTTCAAATCCTTGTTCATACTCTCTTAAAATGCTCATTTTTCAAAATGCTGAAATTTCAAAATTCAGATGTTTGGTGCTGTTGGAAGAAAAACCTGCAAAGCCTGGAACAACGGTAAGGTCGATGGTAAGGTACTGATGATGTTTCAGAAATTGAGCTGTTGAAATGTTTCAAATTTTAAGATGCTGTTGATCTCTTCAAATATAAGTTCTGGGCAAAGGAAAAAAGTAATAAAGAAAATAATTACAAAAATATTTCCATTAAGTTGTTTACACATTTCTGCACTCGTAAGATTTGAAGAGGGGAGGCACAGTTGATCAGGAGCAACAAAGTGTCAAAGGCACATGAGTTTGTTACTGTAGATGCTGAGTGTGTTTCTGCACTGGTCACTGAAGAAGGCAGACATCCACCGCCTGGAGTTTGGTAGCTCTCATCACACCAGGACTGTGTTCCCATTTTTCTCCATTTCCACCAGCACTTTGTCCTGCTTGCTGAGTTTTTTCCTTCAGGTTATTTGAGGGAAACAGGTGTTTCCCAGGAAGCCTCAGTTCTGACAGCTCTAATCGCTGTCTCTGGCAAATGGATCCTTTGTGCTGTCTGGAGGATTAATAGAGGGTTAGGTGCTTAAAAAAATAAACAGTGAGTTCAAACAGTGGGAAGGAGCAAAGCTGCGTGTGGCTGATGAGCGAGGTGATGTCATTTATTTAGCAGAGGTGATACAGTAGTCAGAGATGCCACGAGGGGAAGGCTCCTTTGAAGGGAACAGGGGAGTTGTGAGGCAAACCACAGAGGAGCTGTTAGTGGCCAATGGAAAGGGGTGTTGGGTTTGAAGCCTTGGAGCTCAGGTGCAGTGCAAGAGAATAGGGGCTCATTGTTAAGGCAGGGATCAGCACTCCCTTTTGTTCTGGGCCCTGCCTCCTCCTCCTCTGGCACTACAATAATAATGTCTTGTCACTCTTAAGACATGCTGGCACAGATCGTGTTCACTGATGGATGTTCGCTCAATGGACGTACTAAAATGGTTTGTTTCTGTTGATGTAGGTCTTTGTAGGCTCCTCTAATGGGAGTGTAAATAAATGAACCCTTCAGCAGGGATTTCTTTCACTGCAGTCCAGTTTAACCTCTGAGTGCCTCACTGCCAGGAGTCACTCCAAATACCTTACTGCCTTACACTACTGCTGCCATTTTCTGGAGTTTCGTGTGTTCCATTTGCTGCCCGTTTGCACAGGCAACTTGCTATATGTGGATGCAATCAATTTTTTATAATCAGTATTTAGTAAGACAAGATTGAGAAATTAGGATGAGCACTCAAGAAAGGTAAGGTAAGAAAGATAAGGGCCTAATATTCATTGAGATGGTTAAAAAGATTTCCCATTATTTCACCTAGGGGTGATTACAAGCTCTTGGGATTAATTTGTTAAAATTGTGTCCAAGACCTGGTTTGTGTGAAGTTGGGGATTGTAGAACTGGAACTTTGTTCCTGTGGTCAGTTCTCACAAATATATAAAAACTACAGTGGTACTTTTCCTTAAGGCAATGGAACTCAAAGACATCTTCAGAAAACACCCAGAATGAGTGTATAATAGTGATAAACCAAAAATAGCTTCACAAAGAAGGTAGTCCCTATTGTATTATTCTCTGGAGATTTTTTCACCGTAAGTGTGTGGGAGCAGAGTTTTGAAAGGACGTCAGCATAGTTTTCACAGCTCTGTTCTAGAGTTTGAAGTTCTCATACTTGGCACAGTTTGCCTAGCCTGGAAGTGCCATAATCTGTTATCCTGCATTTAAAGAACCATTTAATGATCACTGTCCAAACCCCATTTTTTTTCAAGTTGCCACTTAAAAAGGCTTCTCTAGGGAAACCTCTACACCAGCAGCAAGGAGATTCTGGTGAAGATGGAAATGGAAGGTTACAGGCCTAGTGCTGATAGGGAAATTTCAGTTGTTACTTGGAAAAATTACAAAACTGGTTGCAGTTTTCCCTCCATTTCCATTATCAGTCAAAACAGTCATGGAATAGGATCTGCTTGCACAGAGAGAGACTGTCACATGGCTACAGAAATGCTCACCCAGTGCAGAGATCTGACATGATCCATGTAACCTCCTAACAGGTTGTGTGTTGGGACAACATTATACCATTATTATCATACCATACATCTGAAAGAAAGGCAAGTAAAAGCAGCCTTCTCTCACTTCAGTCTCTGGCATGTAGGACATGCAAATGCCAGATTCTGCCAGGAGACCCAGCTATTGACAGAGATCAGCCCTTCCTGAAATGCTTCTGCTAATTCTTGTCTATTCTATCTGGAGTTTTCAATGCGCATGTACTCACTGAGGGAGAAAATCCTCTTTTTCAAATTTGCAGTTTATTTTTCAGCCTATATGTTTGCTGACCCTGCTAATGAAGTGCAATTTAAAAGCTGCATTCTAGAATGGGGAACATTGTCTCTCTACCCCTTCTCTTCTGTGTTTATTGTAGTGAAAATGTAAGGACTTTGTTGGAAGGTTGGCCATGAGGACACTGGAACAGAGCATCCAGTATCTCCATATCATTCCTTCATTATTTATGGTTGCAGTGTAGTACATGCAGCACCAGATGTGAGTAAGAAGAAGGAGGGGTGCAAAAGAGAACTTCAAATGACTGTGATGAATAGTTGAAAGTGAACAGAGGGGCTTTTAAGGCTCCTTTAAAGAAAGCCTAATGCTCTGCTTCCCTAAGCAGCAGGCTACTGATGATGGAAAAGTCACAGACGTACCTGCAGAGATTTGGGAAGCTCTTGTTTCAGTAGGTCTTTATGGCAGCTAAAAAAATAGAATTCCTGTGCTCCTGCCAACTAGGTTGGTGTGTCCAGCTCGCTTTTCTCCTTTCCATTTTGCTCTGGAAGGACAATGTGCAATGACTTGGACAGTGCTGAACTCCAAACCATGTCTGTCCTTATTTAGCCACCTCATCCCCAGGTCCTACCTGTGTCTGGTACTTTTCCACACTTGAGCAGTGCCATCTCTGAGGACTGCTGTTTCTTGCTTGCATTTCTGTTCTGATGGTGGCATAAAATGCCAGGCCTTGCAAATTCTGAATCTTCTTTGCCTTATTCAAACAAGTGGTGACATTTTCTTAGACACACACAACCTGCACTTCCCTAATGGCACCCTGGAAGTCCATCATTAGTATAAATCAGGAGTGAAGAGCCTTATGTCCTCTTCCTGCATCACCCTGTTTTATAACGAGCTTTCTAAAATATTTGGAATTCAGGCTAAAAATTACTGGCTTTTCCAACCAACAAACTCCTTGATTAATTTTTTTTCCTTTTTTGGTAAGCCGATTTGGAAAATACAGCAAAAATGTTGCAGATGCAAAGGGTTTTTTAAAAGGAATTATTGAAACTTTTAAGTGAGTCTGTTGTCTGAGCACAGCTAGAATTGTTTAGCGTGGAATCAAACAGCCTTTGTGCACTTAGGGCTATGTGGGATCACGTCTGTGAGGGGGATGCAATGTGTGGATGACGGTGTTCAGCTGGCACTGAGCTACTGCTTCATGCTGTCCCCCCATGGGCTTTTCCCTTGTGCCACTTCCATGGTGGTGGGTGTGCTTCAGGATGGGCCCTGAGCATGGCCCAGGAGGTGAGGGGGAAGGGTGTCAGGGGCAGCCTGTGGGTGTTATGGAGAGCAGGCAGTGAGGGATGCAAACATGGTGGGTACAACCACCTCGAGCAGCAGCACTGCCTTGGTTTGTGCTGATTGCGCTGATAGCAATGTGCCCTCAAAGAGCTTCAGCTCCTAA